GGCGCACTCGAAGAGGTACATATAGATTTTTTGGTGCGCGCCTGCCACGTGGCGCCAGATTAGTCGTCCTTCTCTTGGCGCACTCGAAGAGGTACATATAGATCTTTTGGTGCTCGCCTGCCACGTAGCCCCAGATTTCCTGTCGACGGACTTCCTCCCTCAATTCGAGAAGAGCTGCTCTCATCATCGCTGTAATCCGGCGCGAAAGACGCTTTTTCTCCTAAGGAGGAACGGGCTTGGGAACGATCGTTTGGCACGTGCCGCTTTCTGGTGTATACGTTTCATTCTTTTTTTTTTCTTTTCTTTTTTTCGCTTTTGCGCTCTCATATTCATGTGATTATATATGTGGCCTCCTGATGAGTCGGTGAAAATTCCAACGAAACAGTCTTTCCCAGTCCCTCGTTTATTGTCCTCTTCTCCTTCTCTGCCTACGGTTTGCCGGCCAGTTCTGTTTCACGATATATGTCTGTTTCACGATATATGTATAGTCATTGCTATGTACGGCCTTGTACGGAAGAGGTTCTGAACAGGGGGAGTTATAAGGAAGAAGATAAAAAACAGAATTCATTTTTTCCTGTTTTTCTCTCTTTTTTTCCTTTTTTTCTTTTTTTCTCTTTTTCGCATTTGCGCTCTGATATTCTTGTGACAATATATATATTATATGTTTGACGATATATACATATACCACCTCAGGGTATCAGTTGTCGGGCAGTCGTTGATGCTTAACCACAGCCGGGGTTAAGGTGGATTATCACTTACAGTGTAATAATCAGTTAGGGGATTCTGCAGACTGTTGAGGGTTCAGCCTCCTGATGAGTCAGTGGGTGAAACTCCGACGAAACAGTTTGCCACAGCCCCTCGTTTGTTGTCTTCTCCCTCCCTCTCTGCCTACGATTTACCGGGCATCTCTGTTTGACTATAATATATATGAGAGGTATCGACCAGCAGCTGCTCCAGCCAGGCAATGATCCGCTTTCTGTTACTGGAGTTGTTTATGCTGTTGTGCATATACCCTCTGGGCGTCTCTATGTTGGCCAGACAATCCATACTGCTCATCAACGTTTGAAGGAGCACTGGCATGTGCGACACACTGCTGTTGATTATCGTCATCGGCACCTCTATCACGTCATGCGACAACAGTCTCCCTTCAATTTTGCTGTTTGGCCGCTTGAATGTATTGATCGTGCGCTCTACATTACTGATCGCGGTGAGATTGATCATGCCCTCTTTCGGCSGGCGGCGTCACCTAGAGAGGGTTTCTGGGTCCGACGGCTGCGAACCTTGCACCCTTCGGGCTTCAATGCAGTTTTGCCCGTGTCTCGATTACCGCCTCCTCGACGGCAGCCACGCCCCGATCGCTGGCGGCAAGTTGGTCCTTCCTCTGCTGCTTCTCATCATTGTGCCGTTTCTCCTTACCCGTCTCCAACTGGCGTCTCCTCTCGGGCCTTCACCATTGATATTAGCCCGGGCCCTCAACTAGCAGTACGAACAACGTTACGGCGGTTATTGACATTAGGCGCAGCGGGTTCTTGGTCCGAAGTTGTTGCTTCCATTCAGCAGGCTACGCCCGCTTGGCGAGCTCGCCTGCTGCAATGGCTGTATATA